AGCAGCACAGCAGGGAACTGGCAGTGCTTCCACCTTTGAAATGCAGCATTTCGAAAGTAGAAGCACCATCAGGAGCACAGGGCGAGTGAGGAACTCAAGCAGTCCCATACTCCCTGCGCACTTTGCTTTTGAAATATACAAGAGCCCTCCCCCCCACTTGCCCCAGTGCTCTTGCTACATTTCAAAGATGGAAGCACCACTTATCGATTAATCGAATAGTCAATAGAAATTCCATCAACTATTCGATTAGTTGATCTAAATATAATATCCCTAGTGCAGGATCTGGGAGGGAATATGGGAGCAGGAGAGGGGTCAGAGTGGCAGAGGCAGGATCTGACTGGGAGACTTACCTGCTTGACTCCCAGCCAGCAGCCTTCTAAAGCAGACTCCCTGCCTGCTTCGCTCCCATACTGGCTGCAGGGGCCATGGGCCTCAGGAGAGGGGGTGTTTTGCCCAGGCCTGAGATAAGCAATCATCATTGAAGTTATACTGTGCACAATGTTAGAAATATCAAAGAATGTGATTATACGTGTTTTCTATCCTATTGAGATTTTAACAAACCTCTTTTAAGGCATTTTATTAGCGCCATAGTAGGAGATGCATGTCTTGCAATTAGTATGTTTTTAGTGCAAAATATTGCTTTACTATTTGGACTTGTTATATTGCGCCCATTATCATAGGTTCTGTAATGGCTATAGATGGAGGCCATATGCATAGCAGGACAAACACTTTTCTAATCCCTAGTCATGATATTCTAGTATTTTTTGACTATTTCACAGAGCTCACAATACATATAACGTGATCCGCCCCTCAAAGTGTTTGCAGACTGTCTTCAAATACAATTCAACAAGAGAAAGAACAAGACAGTAGATTGGGATCAGAGAAGGAAGGACAGGGCTAGTCTTATTGATGCTAGGTAGCTGCTCAGTGAAAGCTAGTATGTGGGAGCAAAAGGGGAGTTTGTTTAAATAGTGGAAGGTCTTGGTGTGCTAACTTATTTTATGAGGGTTTGAATTAGAGTTTTAAGGCAGGATTTAAACAAGTTAAAATAAGTCTCCTCTTGCTGCTGTTTTTTCATAATATATAACCCTGGAATTAACATTTTTACCTACCATAAATTGAGTACAAATGTGTTTTCTCAAGTTAAAACATACTGCTCAATCTGTAATCACAAAAATTGCGCCTTTTAGCAGAGCTACTGATTTAAACTGGATTCTCTGCTAGAGTGCAGCTATGACTTTTTAATTAAGTCATGATTTGGTTTGACAAGTTACATGAGCAAATTATTCCTAAAATACGTTTGGCTCTTGAAGCATAAGGACTTTTCATCTATTTTATTCTTCTTCTCCCTGGTATCTTTACAATGACAGCTGAAGAAAGAGTAGTGTAGTTACAGAGAAGATGTAAGTAACTCTGATGATCAGTTGACTTCAAGATAAATGTATGTATTCTGTCTGTGCTCCAGGTCCATGCCATTCCCCTGCGTTCATCTTGGGTGATGACCTGTGCATATGCCCCCTCTGGAAACTATGTGGCCTGCGGTGGTCTTGATAACATCTGTTCCATTTACAACCTGAAAACTCGTGAAGGAAATGTTCGTGTCAGCCGTGAGCTAGCTGGTCACACAGGTGAGCGTCAGTTCTGAAAGGTAAACTGGTTGTGAACTGAACACGTGACGAATTGTGAACATTAGATGTGAAAAAAATCCATTAGATCATCTATTCAATCCTGCAATGCTAGAGGAATGGTTTCTTGTAGCATACAATCCAATCTTATTTTATATGTCCCAAGCAGTGAGGCTTCAATCACTCCCCTTGAAAGACTATTCCATGGTCTCCTCTTTGTCAAGTAATTTTTCTTTAATTTTAAACCTGAAAGTCAGGTATCGTTGTATGATCCTATTTCTTTTGTGCATTCCTATTTAAGTACATTTTCCTCTCTTGTGTATTCACTTTTCAAATAAGTAACATTCTCTACTCCTCTTCTCCATGCCAAAATCAGTCATCCCCATGCCAGTCTATACATCTTGAGGATTTGATCTTTTTTTCAAAAATTGTTCCTTTCGGTCATCATCTTTGCTCGCTTGCAGTGTATTTGTTACTAGAAAGTACCTGGCGTTACTCGGGTCCTTCAGGGAAGGGAGTGTGACTAGTGCAAGAGTCAGAGCAGGGGCTTGGGAATGTGGGGGGCTCAGGGTAGAAGGCTGAGTGTGTGAGGGGGGCTGTATGAGTCAGGAGTGAGGAAGGGCTCAGGGCAGGAGTTGGGGGGCAGGGGTCTGAGCAGGCGATTGGGAAAGGGATATGGGAAGCTGCTGGCTACTCCAAGGACCAATCCAGGGTAGTGTAGGTCATGCAACTGAGAATGACGGGCTTCCCACCTGCTGGCAACTCCCTGGGGTGGCTACTTATACTGCCTCCTTGTGGTCATTCATTAGTATAACTGTCCCTGCTACCACACCCGTCCCTTTCTGTTTTATGAGAGTCACATTCCACACCCATCATACTGTCCTGGCCATAATGGGTTAGACCAAGGGTCCCTCTAGCCCAGTATCCTGTCTGCCAACTGTGCCCAATACCAGATACCCCAGAGGGAGGGAACACAACAGGCAATCCTCACGTGATCCCTCCCCCGTCACTCATTTCCAGACAAACAGATGCTATGGACATCATTCCTACCCATCCTGGCTCATAGCCATTGATGGACCTAACCTCCATGAATCTATCTAGCTCTTTTTTGAACCCTGTTAAAGTCCTAGCCTTCACCACCTCCTCTGGTAAGGAGTTCCAGAGGCTGACTGTGCGTTGAGTGAAAAAAATCTTCCTTCTGTTTGTTTTAAACCTGCTGCCTATTAATTTCATTTGGTGATCCCTAAATGTGAAAAGTGGAAGCTGCAGCATACTGAATTTGGCGGTCCTAGCTCTTGCTGTTTAGGAGGAGTTCTTGAACAAATGGACTCAAGAACATATATATGCACAAACTCTGCCAAATATATGGTAGATAAATTCTGTGACACTTTAAACATCTAAATAATAACTGTAATAACTGTACATAACTTTATTGCTCATTTCCTCAAATAGAAACAGTGGTCCTTTACAGAAAACCTGTCACCAAGTGCATTGTTACGCAAATTAAAAACAATCCAACTCTTGTTATGTGTAATCAACTTCGTAGTAGAAAATTGGACAAAAATTTTCCCGAAGTACATGAGTCCCAACTTCTTACGGAATTTGTCTGCAGTGGCTTTTACTATAAAACTAGAGAAGGCTCTTACTATAAAACCATATCCTAGGAAACTTAATGTAGTTTGATCAAAATATCTAGTATTTGGAGGTCACAAAGAGAAAGTTTTTAGTGACTACAAAAGGGAATTATTTCATTTCACAACTTTTTTTTCCCTTTCTGGAAAGTAAAACCACTATAGTATATCATATCTGTTTAAAGATACTGTTCTCTCTTGTATCCACGCTCCAGCCTGATATTGAAACAGTACATTTACAAACTCAGATTGGAGAGAGAAACCTAATTGGCCATTTGTTTGTGTTACCATGGAGTGCAATCAGCTATCTGACTGATTGCTGGTGCCAATTTTTATTTCTGTGAACAAGACAATTTCATCTTGCTGGGTTTCATTAAGTTCCAAAGATTTGAGGTGCTGCCCTTGCAGCTCATTTCCTTCACCTGGAGCTGTGGGATGCAGAGCATCGCCTGAAAATCATGTCTTTCCAGTTTTTGTCTTTAAATCATCTTTGTCATTCTGGAAGGCAGACATAATGGTTCTTTGAGTTTTGGTGTAAACCATGGCTTGTTTCTCAGGGTTTCCATTTTTTTTGCAAGTTTGTACCCACATTCAGCTTTGCTGTCCCCACGTGTTCAATCACTGATACTGATCATTCCTTTAAAGACCTCAGAATTATTTAATTGGCTGGTCAGAGTTCTCCCAATTAAGAATCTCTGACCTGAACTTCAGATTTAACCCCCAGACCGACTTGTATCTTCCTGCTCTTGTAAGTTGGAGATATTTGGCTGGTCATAGAAATATCTGAAAGCCCTAAAAAAATCCATTTCATCACTAAAAACTATGACCTGTAGTGCACAGTTGTAGGATCTACAGTTGTTCCTTTTCAGTGGTTAAGCTTCCAGAAGGACTGCAAAGAGCTAGATGCAGGGGAATTTGGATGCTGGGGGATTGTCCCCAGCGTGACATGGGTGTGGGTTGTCCTACGCTGCTCCTCTGTGCTAGAGGTCAGAGGGGACAGATGGGTGGGAAAGTGGTCAGAGTACGTTGTGCTACAACTCTTCTGGGGCTCCTCTAAGCAACATTAGGGCCATAGCAGAATCTTAGAGACTGTAAGCCTTCTTTCCGCTCTCATGGGTTCCCTCTCTTCAGAGGTGTAGCACAGACTCTGGCTGACTCTTATAGCTAGGGATAAAGTTTAATGAGCTATCACTGCAAGGACAAAGGTATGCATATGAAGGATCCATTTAGAATATCTACAAAAACAGCTAAAAGAAAAGGGGATGAGCCTCCCCTCCTTTCCCCTCCATCCAAGAGCATTGCAGCAGTAACATCTCATATTTCAGCAGAAGTTGAAATAATTCATTGGAATGACTTCTGTCTCCTGAAGGAATGTGCAGTTGAGGGAAAAGGAAAGACTGCAAGCTGAATGAGAAGAAGTAGCCACTCAGAAATAGGATATAAATGAGCTTGGTATCCTGCCTGGGCTGGGCTGGAACATTGGTTCAAAGAGTGCTTGTGCTGTTTAAGAGCCCAACTGAACATCACAGGACTTGGTTTATCTCTAAGATACCGCCTACTGCCAGTCACTTGAGTAGTGATGTGCTTATATTCAGAGTATGGGACATACTAAGTGCTACATCAGCAGGTCTTTGTTCACTTGCACATTCAATAATAATACACACAGCAACCTGAGGGAGGGAATCAGCTTGTAATAAGTCATATCTGTCACGGTTGCAACCCTGAAACTGTGTGTCATCTTTATGCTGCCTCTGTTTCTGTAAAGAACAAAATCCCAAGATGCAGCAAAATAGAGACCTCCTACTCCAGAGGCTGCCAGCATGGCTCCGGAAAAACCTTTACCAGCTCTTAAGAGGAAACATCAGGTGGGCTGTCTCTCTTGCTGGTTTTCTGCCTGATCAAGCTCTGCCTATACAGAGTAAAGGGAATCCTCTGAGAACTGTTCATTCAAGGAAACCAAGGTTATTCATACATGAATAGTTATAATCAGGCAAACCTTTCTAAGCCTCTCTTTAATGAAAAGAATAACAAAACTGTATTAAACCATATTGTAGATGGCACTTAACTTTTTTTACTTTTAAAACATAGATTAGCTATCTGGTTCATTGGAGTTGTGTATTCTATATGAAATAGCTGTTGACTGATCATTAAAATAAGGTACTTACTAGTTGTGATAATCAGGCAAACTATAATCCATAAAAAGTATTTTAAGACACATTCTATAAAGTAAAATGGAACTGTCACACGTTTTTAGAAGCTTCAGGGGGTAGCCGAGTTAGGCTGTGCAGGATAAACTTAAAAAACCCAACAGATAGTCTGGTCGCACTTTAAAGACTAACAAAACATATAGAAGGTATCATGAGCTTTTGTGGGCACAGCTGAGGGTCAGCTTTAATTAGCTGATGGAAAATGGCTGAACGTTGCAACAAACTAACATTCCTATCCAGTGTTAGCATGAATTACTAAATCCCTCTCCTGTTTAACCTGACCATGAGTGAAGGATGCTGAAAGGAAAAAAAATCTAGGCCTATGCTAATTTAGCCCCAATAAGAAGAAAAAACATCTTCCTGACCCCCAAACAAGTGATCAGTTAGTCCTGCGGCATCCGTAAAAAACAGTTCTGAAATTAGTCACAAGAGAAGGGGTGGAGAGCCCTTGAAATAAAGCCAAAAGAGGCTTCATGTGGTCCGAACTAGGATTTAAATTAAGTAAAAGGCATTGCAAAAGATGTCAGCTCCCTTCCTCCTCTGGCTGGCTAACAAATGGATAAAGCCTCTGGAGGAGGGGTCATCCCTCCATCCATCAGTGAGTTCTCTCTGCTTCTGCTAGGCTATTCTTGTCACAGCTGGTCCCCAAGGGCATATCTACACAGCAGGGCTAAACCCGAAATAAGCTACACAACTTGAGCTATGTCATTTGCGTAGCTTAAGTCGAAATAGCTTATTTTGGCTTTTGGCACGGTCTACACAGCAGGAAGTCCAAGAGAGAGCACTCTTCCTCCGACTTCCCTTGCTTCTCGTAAAATGACGATTACAGGAGTCGGAGTAAGTCCTCTAGCTCAATGTGATTTTGACATTGTCAAAATAACTGCTTGTAGAGTAGATGCAGACTATTATTTTGGTATAACTGTGTAGACATACCCCAAGGGACATACCCGCAACCTTTCCCTAAAGTAACGTCCTGAGGGTTTCCAAGTAACATCATGAGGGTTTGTTGCCTTTGTGTATAAATCCACCAGTTTCTCTCTCCATGTTGCCTTAGTACTTCCCAAACAAGATGAATCTCTTCTGCTTGGATGCTGAATCCTTTATGCTCCCAGCCCCTGTTGCCACAAATAAGAACTAAGAGAATTTTCAACCCTCGTCTTATGTGAAAGACTATGATCTGATCATTTAGCCTCCTCTTTTTTCTTGAACAGCCAATGGACTTCTTGTGTTTTCTAGGTTTGAGTTTTACTCTTTGCTTGGATAAGCAGATCAGAAAATGTCAGATTTGCTGTAAGATTCAGTCTGTAAATTAAAGTGGTCCTTAACCAACTCTCTGATTAGTAGTACTGCTTCTGGAATTTCTGGCTATTCTTAGTGGCTTCCACTGAGCCACTACTGATTGTGTCTACTCTGCAGTCAGAGGCAAGACTGCAGCATGTGTAGATATACCCTAGATCAGTGGTCTCCAACCTTTTTACATCCAAGTCACTTTTTAAATCTCCGAACAGGTGAAGATCTACCGCCCTGCCACTTCCTTGAAGCCCCGCCCTCTCTATTCTCCTCCTGTCCATCACTTGCTATCCCCAGCCCTTACTTACACACTCTGATAAACAGTTTATTTTTAAATTATGCGATGTATAAAATTAAAATCTCGTATTTATAGTTATGAAATAAATGGTCTGTTTTTTACTCATGCTATTTAAATCTAAAATGAAGCATTTATAATTATACATTTTGTGGGGATAGAGTTCTGCGGCAGGGGGCAGTGGAGTGGGGAACAATTCTGTGGCCGGGGACAGGGGAGTGGGGGCAGAGTTCGGGGAGTGGGGACAGGGGAGTGGGGACAGAGTTCGAGGAGTGGGGACAGAGTTCTGTAGCTGGGGACAGGGGAGTGGGGACAGTGTTCAGGGAGTGGGGAGGAGAGTGGGGACAGAATTCTGTGGCTGGGGAGTGGGAGCTGGGGAGTGGGGTGCCAGTGGAGGCAGAGTCCCCTGTATCTGCCTCCTCCCGGGATTCCCCCGCCCCAGAGGGAAACCAGCACGTGCCTGCCCCAGAGCCGACTCTGTGAGATTGACCTGTTGGTGACCATGGCCCTAGATACCCGTATAATGGTGTTGTGAAGCCACAGTATTAAAAGCCCACCTGGAGGCCAGGTTATGGTCTTGGGGGGCTAGTCCAGGCTGCTGCAGCTATTTCATCTAAATAGATTAGAGCTGTCTGAGTTATGTCTACATATGCTGCAGTCACACCCCTGACTACACTGTGGACATGCTCAGTATGTGCAAGAAAGAAGGGTTCAATACATGACTAACTCAATCTGAAAAGTAGACAAGAATTTGTGGCTTTGTTTTTGCAGGTTACTTGTCATGCTGCCGTTTCCTGGATGATAATCAAATAGTTACTAGTTCTGGAGACACCACTTGGTAAGTAGTCAAACTGTACTAATTTGTGCTAATGGCTGCATATGTAAAAATACAGAAAATATATTATGGGAGAATTTGTCACAACACTTCCTAATAGTAATAATGTGCTATATGAATCTTATGTTGGCACTCGTTGGTATGGAATTCTCATAAGACAGCATGGATAAAAATGTCTGATAGCTTGCAATTTAGGATAAACACACCAATGGAAATAGTGCTGTCAAGCAGACACAAGCATATGCTGAGTAATTTCCATTATTGATGTTTTTATTAACATTTCAAATAGAATGCAGTATTTTTAAACTGTAAAACTATTTATGCATGGTCTCTAAGAGCTCATTCAGAGAAGTTATGGCTTAATGAAGAAAAAATTAAAGTTTTAAAAATAAGCTTTTTTGCCACAAGAAAGTTTCCCCGATCCTGTTATATCAAAGGAATCTTGTTTTGTGGGCTATACTCTTATGTGGTTTTTAGTTTTTCTGCCATAATCAGAGAAAAAGCCCCTTTAGGTTACAGAGCTATACAATAAGCCTTTAACAACATTCAAGATTTTCAGAAGATTCAGTCTTTCTTCTGCTCTTACGGTGAATTGATACTTACTATGGACTTTATTTTAATTTATCAGAACTAGAATGGTAATGTTTCTGGACTTGCACAGAATTTCTGTGCTGCTAGTAATGTGGCCTGTTGAAACACCTGTTTAACCAATAAATACTCATTTTACAAAAAAAAAAAAGTAAACAAAAAATGTACATGTTGAATGGAAAGATAGTAGTACATCCACTAGACAACAGTCCTTAAGGGATTATTTTGAAGTCTTCCTAAGCCATTCAGTCCAGTTGTTTTGGTTGCATAAAGACCCTCCTATTAAATGGCCTTTTTGAGTGGTTGCTTAAGATCAATATTGATTGTACACAAATTTCTTGAATATTAACATGATTTTTCAAAATGGAATGGAATTGTTGAAGTGATGTTCTTTGTACAAGATTGTATATGTGTAATAGGTACTGAATGCTTCATATGATTTGTAAGTCCTAGTAGAATGTTGAGTATACAAATTCCGGCCTTCTCTTATGGCCCAGCCACTGGCAAGGGATTTCTTTTTGTCTTGTTCTTTCTGCATATGCATTTCTGAAACACACATGGTTCATAATGAAAGCTAGTTCTTTTATGAAAAAAAACTTCTCCTTTTATGCTGATGGTTCCCTTCGTTTGTGGAGGGAGGAAGTCCGTAATCTCCTTCCTCTAAGCTTGCAGTTTCCTAGAATGGGGAACTGACATGGCGGGCATTGTGTTTTCTAATTGCAAGTGGATTTGAGCTGGAACACTAAGGACAATTTCATATCAAAGTTGGAACCGACTGGTGAAACAGATATATTAACACACAGTTTACATAGCTAGGGAACCCTAAAACACAAAACTGGCTTTTGCATTGGCTCTAAGCCAAAGCACAATTCTGCCTTGTGCTGCCTTTCTGGGAAGGAGAACAGACAAGTTAAATGCTTTCTTTCTAAACATCTCTGGAAAGTCTGCTGCTTTTGTGGATGATGCAGTCAGTATTTCATCCCCTTTTTATATCTCATGATTGTCACTGTGGTGATCTTGCTGTCAATGAAAAAGAGGGGGCGCTGACAGCCATGAGGTAACAGTGAATTATTCTGGTTGAATATACACCCTCCAAAAGCAGCTTTTAAAAAAAATAATGGAAACACTGACTCAATCTTAACTATAGCAGCAGTAGTGGGTGCTACTCTAAAACAGCTCTACACTAGTGTTAGAACACTGCCATGTTACAGAACTCCATGCATCAACAATAATGAACATTAGTCACTTTGCTCACTTTATATTGCTGATAACCCAGCCAAGGAGATTAGGCTCTGTAACCAGAAATATGTGGCTCCATCCGAAAGTACTGGTGCCTTTTTAAGGCAAAGACTGAGAGATTGTGTATGATATTCAAAACATCTTAAAGCAGAGTATCTTCTTCCCACATATTTTGGGTTAATTCTTCCCTTTTTATTTTAAATACAAAAGTTACACCCAAGAAAACAAGTGATAAACTAGCCTAATTGAGCTAAGTATGTTAAATATTGACTAATTGACTAATCGATAGGGTGCCTCCCAACAGCTGTTGCTGTACTCCAAAGGTGAAAGCACCGCGTGGAGCGGGGGCTCAGCTGGGGAGACCTCAAGCTCAGTGCAACGCTGCCGCTTCGAAATGCTGCAGGGAGCCTGACGTCAGGCGTCTTGTGTCGTTTCAAAACAGCAGCGAGGTGGAGCCTGTCCCCAGCTGATCTTGGGCTTCACTCAGAGCTGGCACTTTGAAACGCCTTGAGGAGCCTGATGTAACAATTTTTTTTTCTAATTGCAAGTGGATTTGAGCTGGAACACTAAGGACAATTTCATATCAAAGTTGGAACCGACTGGTGAAACAGATATATTAACACACAGTTTACATAGCTAGGGAACCCTAAAACACAAAACTGGCTTTTGCATTGGCTCTAAGCCAAAGCACAATTCTGCCTTGTGCTGCCTTTCTGGGAAGGAGAACAGACAAGTTAAATGCTTTCTTTCTAAACATCTCTGGAAAGTCTGCTGCTTTTGTGGATGATGCAGTCAGTATTTCATCCCCTTTTTATATCTCATGATTGTCACTGTGGTGATCTTGCTGTCAATGAAAAAGAGGGGGCGCTGACAGCCATGAGGTAACAGTGAATTATTCTGGTTGAATATACACCCTCCAAAAGCAGCTTTTAAAAAAAATAATGGAAACACTGACTCAATCTTAACTATAGCAGCAGTAGTGGGTGCTACTCTAAAACAGCTCTACACTAGTGTTAGAACACTGCCATGTTACAGAACTCCATGCATCAACAATAATGAACATTAGTCACTTTGCTCACTTTATATTGCTGATAACCCAGCCAAGGAGATTAGGCTCTGTAACCAGAAATATGTGGCTCCATCCGAAAGTACTGGTGCCTTTTTAAGGCAAAGACTGAGAGATTGTGTATGATATTCAAAACATCTTAAAGCAGAGTATCTTCTTCCCACATATTTTGGGTTAATTCTTCCCTTTTTATTTTAAATACAAAAGTTACACCCAAGAAAACAAGTGATAAACTAGCCTAATTGAGCTAAGTATGTTAAATATTGACTAATTGACTAATCGATAGGGTGCCTCCCAACAGCTGTTGCTGTACTCCAAAGGTGAAAGCACCGCGTGGAGCGGGGGCTCAGCTGGGGAGACCTCAAGCTCAGTGCAACGCTGCCGCTTCGAAATGCTGCAGGGAGCCTGACGTCAGGCGTCTTGTGTCGTTTCAAAACAGCAGCGAGGTGGAGCCTGTCCCCAGCTGATCTTGGGCTTCACTCAGAGCTGGCACTTTGAAACGCCTTGAGGAGCCTGATGTGGGGCTCCCCATGGCATTTCAAAGTGGCAACGCTGCATAGAGCCCAGAGTCAGCAGGGGGTCCCCAGCTGATCCTGGGCTCCACGCATCGCTGCCACTTCGAAACACTGCGTGCAGCCTAGGGACACCCCAGCTGACCCCAGGCTGCACGTGGCGTTTCAAAGCGGCGGTGCCGCATGGAGCCTGGGGTCTGGCCACAAGCTCCATGTGGTACCGCTGGTTTGAAGTACCTCCTCCACTCTCCCCGCCCCTTGCTGCCTCTTTCTGATGGGGGGAGACACACTAATTGACTGGTCCTTCACTTCCCTAAATTGAGCTACAGCCTGTTTCTCACTGTTAGACCTTCTAATAATGTACTGCAACACTTAATTTAAAAAAATCAATTTTATTTGATTATTCTAATTTTTGTCAGGTTTTAATCTTCTTCTCCCCTTTTCCCTTCTATAAAGCGCCCTTTGGGATATTGAAACTGGCCAGCAGACGACCACATTTACTGGGCACACTGGGGATGTCATGAGTTTATCTCTTGCTCCTGATGCCAGGTGTTTTGTTTCTGGTGCCTGTGATGCCTCTGCCAAACTGTGGGATGTTCGAGAAGGAATGTGTCGGCAAACATTCACTGGCCACGAGTCAGACATCAATGCCATCTGTGTGCGTATAAATGCTGATTTGGGGGATTGGGCTGGGTTTTAAGTTCATGGTGTACTCTGCAGTCAACTGTTAGAATTTAATACATTGTGCATCCTGGAGTATTATAGCACAGTTTTTCCTGTAAAAAGTGTTTCTCACTGTTGACAAACTATAGGTTGAACCTCTCTAGTCTGGCACCTTCGGTGCTACATTAGAGCATTTGCCAAGCCACAGGAGATGAATATCGTTTAGCAGCATTATCAACACTTCCACCGCTTAATGGACTCTTAGAAGACCTTTAGGGGTAATTTAGACCTAAATAACAATATAGAATGCTGAGAGGCAGGACTTAGTGGCTGTAAACAAACTCTGGGATCCCGGAAACTTGGCCACACCCATAAATGGAGATCTGCCTATCATGCTGGGTCACGGATGTTGCCAAACCAGAGAGTGCCAGACTAAAGAGGTTCAGTCCTGTACATTCAACTTATTGTATTGCATAAATTGCAAGTGGCAGTTTGGTAGGTGTTTACCACACTTTTGTGAATACATAGTATTTCATCTTCAGAAAGTTTTTAAAACATTGCCTCTGTGATAAGGTACTTTTATCTCCATTTTACAGATAGGAAAACTGAGGCAGACAAAGGGACGTGGCAAAGAACAGAAAGGGAGTAAAACGAAGCTAGGAATCAGTCTTTAGTTCCTAGCTTCCAGTTCTGGGCATAAGACCGCTTTTCTCTGCCTGAATACTCCAAAGTACTAATGAAAGTGATCTAGCATGTTTTGCACTATCTAAGATTTCTTAGTAGTTGGCCAAATGGAAAAAGCCCTGTTCCCAAAAGCTGCAAAACACAAAGTTTCTTTAATATCTCTGTTTTGTTTTAAAGTTCTTCCCAAATGGCAATGCATTTGCCACAGGCTCAGATGATGCCACATGCAGGCTCTTTGATCTTCGTGCTGACCAGGAACTTATGGTTTATTCACATGACAACATCATCTGCGGCATCACCTCTGTAGCATTCTCCAAAAGCGGACGTCTCCTCCTAGCTGGTTATGACGACTTTAACTGCAATGTGTGGGACACACTGAAAGCAGATAGAGCAGGTAAACAGTTTCTGCATTGGGTTTTTAATACTCTCAGCTGCACCTAACAGGGTGGCCTATTGACAGGCCTTACTCAAATGTTAACACAGTGCTGTTATTCACCGTTAAAACTCAGTGATGTGATCTGCTGTGACACCCCAAGTAAAGGTATTTTATTTGTGTTGTCAACATGCTCATGGATTTGTAAATTTTAGTGAAGACTAGGGGGCTTCTGAAAACAAAGCTGCCCTCTACAAACCGAACTCAGTAAAAGAGCAACATCTGGGAAAACTAAATATATTTTTACTTTCAAAGAGCTTATTTTACATTTGGACAGCTTAAAAGTATTTGACACTTTATGAAACACCTACTGTTAATCACTTCACTTATGTAGGGTCTACAAATGCATAATATTTATACAAAGATAATTGTCATTAGTATTTCACTGAAATGATTCAGGATAAGAGTTGGTAGCTCTGCTGCACTGCAGTGCTTGAAGCTGTTCAGTATTCCTCTGAGAATTTGCACTGATTTTTAGGTAATGTAACTGTCAAGCAGAGATTTGTAGCCTTTGATTTATTACCTCAAAATTCTTCACACAGCAAATAGTTCTAGATAGTACTTATTAAAAACTCACCCTTTATTACCTCTTGTTCCACATTTTCTAAGGCTGCTTCATTTGCGCATTTAATTCACAGTGAGACTTGGTATGCTTTTGAAGATGAAATTCAAAAGTGGGGAGGTTCTGTTGCTTATCACAGTAAGGATGTTGGTACTCACTAACATAATGCTTTATCTATACAGCATACCTGGATCCTTATTTAGGGGTATAATTAATGGGAGAAGATAGGTATTTAATTTACAAACCTAGCTAGTATAGATTGTTGGTTCATAAAATATAAACTAATGATATTAAAACAAGAAAAGTAGAAATGGTCATAAATGGCCACAAAACATCTGTTTATGATTACACAATGTAAAGAGGAGGCGCTAGACTAGATTAATGGAGAGAGTATTTCTAATCCTTGGAATCAGCATAGGGCTAAAAAACTAGTTCTGTTACTTTCTAGAGGAAAGTAATAAACAAATATTACTTGATACAAACCTGATCAATTCTGAGGAGAACACTGTGCTCATAATTGAGAAGACACCAGCAACATTGACTTTGTGTCATCACTACCTTTACTGTAATGTAAACAGCTCTGCCCCATGGCTAGCTCATCTTTTCTCCTGCCCTCTCCCAACAAATATGAAACTTTCCATCATGCTATTCAGAAATTAGCACAGTAGTAACTCAGAGTTCAGTGCTGTTTATATTATTTAATTGTACCAGGAACATATTTTTCAAATAAGTGAAATGTGTTTATATTGTCTAAATGCACCTTATTCAAGGTTTTCCCACAATCAGTGTTCCCTCCTAATTTTTATGTCCGCATGCAGAATGAATTTTGTTGCGTGCACCAATATGGAGATGAGGTGCACCACATCACCTCCATATTGGTGCACATAACAAAATCAGTTCTGTACATGGGCTATATGTGGCAGGGGTGGGGCTGAGGGGTTTGGAGTAGGAGGGACAAGGTCTTGGGGGGGGGCCTGGAGATGAGTTTTTGAGGTATAAGAGGAAGCTTCAGGCTGAGGCAAAGGGGATTGGAGTATGGGAGCAGGCTCAGGGTAGGAGGTTGAAGTCAGGGTGTGGGGTTTGGACACGAGTTCAAGTTCACAAGGGAGCTTAGGGTTGGGGTTGTGGGGTCCAGGAGGAAGCTAGACAGGGTGGTGGAGCAGGCTTGGGGCTGAGGTCAGGAGTTGGGATGCAGGGTGCTTACCTTGGGCAGTCCCTGCTTAGTATGTGTGCCAGAGAATCAGGGGGATCTGTGTGGTCCGTGCTGACCTGGCTCCCCTGAAGGTACTGCCCTCCCTTCCCACAGTGCCCATTGATAGTGATTTCCTGCCAATGGAAGCCTGAGGGACAGAGCCTCCAGGTGAGGTTGTTTACAAGTGAAATGTGCAGTCTTGATACTTGAGGCCAGAAATAGACATGCAAATGAAAATAAGTTGGTAGTCTGCAATAGGCAGAGAATTTTTCTTCATAAATGTGTTGTCTTCCTTACTACTGGCTTTAAATCAAGTGCGCTAGAAATAAAGTAATTTGCTGTTCCATCTGAGAATCCACGGAGCAGATGAATATAAGGTGCTGCTTTGTTGCTTTTGGATTTCCTGCAGGAATTCAGAACTCCGTGGTAATGTCAGGATCAACACTACAACAATTCCCTGTGATAAACTATTAGGTGGGTGAACCAAGCAGATCAGGGAATTCTTAGTGGCATCATATTACATTTTATAGTTTTTCTCTTGGAGAAAACTGTTTGGTCCCTGGTGACCATTCTTTACTTTGAAGCTGATTAGGAGGAAGTGATGAGCTTGTTGGCCTGTTGAAATGACTAATACTAGTTCCATTTCCTGCTTTGATTTTTGTACTAATGCAGTGTGATTTGTCTTCAGTACATGTTTAACAATGTACTAGGTTGTACTTTGGTTGACTTTAAGTAGGAAAAATGACTTTTCAAACTCTCTAAATTACCTTGCCCTATTATGATTCTGTTTCATGGGTGTAGTGTTTATTTTTGGTGTCTTGGATTCTGCAGTTTCCTGGTTTATTGGGTTGATCAGAGATAGTCTCTTCTACATGTCCCTCCTTCAAGGAAAGTGGAAGGGGAGGGGTGAAAATAGATTTCCTACTCCAGCTGATCTGTCTCCCACTTCCTCAGAAATCCTATTAGTTCCTTGAATAAATCTCACTATACAGGGATGTTGAATGGGAAAGGGATCATTAAGGTGATGAGAGTCCCAGGGAGCAGCAATGCTTAATAAGGCGGAAGGGAAGACAGTCTGCAGATGAGTGCAATCACATGTTTATAATCAGTTATTAGAATCTTAGCATGAGTTGACTCAGTCACAAATTAACTGGTCAGACACGCTGCTTCTTGGGGTACTTTGCTTGACGTACTGCTACATTAAATTTCACCACAATAATCTAAGTTTTACACATTTATCCTAACTTCTGGTACTGGAGTACCTCTTCTGTCTAGAGTGTATGTATCCTATGGAATCTTTTTCTTTCACTTTTCCTAGCTGGAAAACACTTACTTCTGGACACTAATAACCAAGACAGTATCCACACTACAACTACTATAATGTGCCCGTGAATAGTTCTGAGCCATTTCATGAGCAGTGACAGCAGGTTTCCTATATGGCACTATCAGTTTTTAAAAATGTTATCAACCACTTGTACATTTATCATGTCTGCTGCTCCAGAAGTGCAGAATTCATTGCATTAAGAAGCCCTCTGATTTAAATGGAAGACTCTCTGATATTCTGCAGTTTTAATATGGAGATTAGCAATACTATCCAATATACTGTTACAGAACTCACTTAACTTGCTGTTACATATTATGTTTCACCAAGGAGTAACTTTGGATGTTTTACACTCTAAAACATGTAGTAGCACTAAATTCTTTTAAACATGTTGCAAAAGCTAATTATATAGGAAAACAATTAACAGCAGGAGTGTGCAGAGTCATGTGAAAAATGTTACTTGTGCAAAGAGAGGTTAATTATGTTCTTTCATCACTAAAACTTCTTTGGCTCAGGTTTTTGATCATATAATGGACAGAGCAAGACTTAAATATAGGTGCTTTTTACCTTCTTTCCTTTGAATACCCATATAAAAAAAACATACTGACTCCCTTTCTCTTCTTTTTTTCTTTTCTCAGTGTAAGTATCTCAGTCTCTCTCAATTAAATTTTTCAAAATGACACACTGGTTGAATGGAAGCATCTTCCGTACTGGCAAATCTAATGTATGGAGGTAGCCAGTTTTTGTTTGGCTTTTCGTAACACACATGCTCGTACACCCAAGAGGAGGGCAAGGGCTCAAACGAGATTAATATGTTTAAGATGCTACAGCCTAACTCTGTTTTTTACAAGTGTTTTTACAAGATAAATTGGCCCCTAACACTGTAGATGGAAAGTAATTGAATTTAGCGGCAACACATTAGTAAATACAGAATTCAGAACTGTTTGGCGCATACTGTCAGCAGTATTTTTATAAGCTGGTGATGACTTTGTAACTGATGTGTGATTATTGGAGATTATTCCTATCAAGTGAGAATCTTGTGGCTATGACACTCCATGTTGCCATATTGTGCATTTTGGAGTCCCTTGCTGATTAATTCAATCATTTCCTAGTGAATAGTGCCAAAAGATTTTTTTGGGGGGGGAGGGGGGGGGAGGAAGGGAAGAAAAGAATTATCAAAATCAGACTTGTGTAATTAAGTCAAGCTAATATCATTTTCTAATCATCCAATATAAACATGAGCTGCTGCTGTTGTATTGCTTGAAATGAAGTATGTAGTCATCAAAACTTTGGAATATTCATGTGTATTTTGTTTTATTTCTAGGTGTCCTTGCAGGCCATGATAACCGTGTCAGTTGCTTAGGTGTGACTGATGATGGTATGGCAGTAGCAACAGGATCCTGGGATAGCTTCCTCAAGATCTGGAACTGAATGTAGGTATTTGGGGGGGGCACGAGACAGAGAACGTCCTTAATTACTTGGTTTATAATTTTTTTTTTCTAATTTCAAATGTACATTGCAACTGTGATTATGCTACAAGCTTCCAGTCTGATTTAGAAAAATCATTTAAAATACTAGGAATAAGTTATAATTCAGCCTTGTAAAATTATACTTGCCATGGGGAAATAATTTTTTTGATAGGTATCATAGACTTTTTTCATTGTCAAGGTAAAGGGTGGGTGAATGGGTTTCACGTCAAGATTGATAAAAATTACTAAACCTTTTGAAAATGATGAAATAATGGATGTAGCTATTAGTAGAGGGTGAGAGAGAATAAACTGATCTACCAGATAAGTCAGTTCTTAACCAGCTCAGAATTTAATGTTAGTGTTAGAACATACATTTTAACAAAACTTTTTGTGTGCCAGACAAGCGATGGACTCCACCGTGACTGGAAGACATTTCCAACGGTTGAAAACTAAAATGATAGCGTATCCAATCCAACCATACTAACTTGGACCCCCCCTCCCATTTTCCTCAAAACTTCAAAGGGCAAGATCTTTACCATCTCCTATTGCTGAAATGAAGAGCACAATTAACTTTCAAAGAAGAATTTCTGTAGTTGTAAGCAAACTGAAATTGTGCATTCCTTTTGGGACCATTTTTTTTTCTTGCGAATTTAAAAAAAAAACACTATCATAAAAGCATGACCAGAAAATAAACTTGAGCATAATTGTGAAACAAACTTAACTTCACTGTAGTTTTCAAGTTAAAGTTGAGAACTTTGTTTTATCTCTCACGGTTTCAAATTTTAAAGTCACGTTTGTAGAAGGATTTATTTTTTTCACATTTCCTTTTTAAATACATTTCTTTATGGTCAATAACTGAGCAAAACAAGGGAATCCTAGCCCAGTGTGTCTGGGGTTGTTAATGCTGTAAATTTAGTCCCTACTTTTTTTTATTTCTGTCTAGTGTCACAGATAATTGTTGCACAAAACATTGCATCTATAGAATAATGTTAAGAAGTAAGGAAACCAAGCACATGCTGTACATGGTATCGAATGCTTGTTTAAAGAACCTTTCACCTTTTATGGGTAACAAATGAAAATCCTAAATTTCTACCCACCCACCCCGAAACCTATGGATTTTTAAAAAAATCTACTCTTTTCTTTGTCCATTTGGAAGGGCAGTTTATATATCCTAACACTACCCCATAGTCTCAACAACCAGGAATCTCTGTTTTCAAAAGAGACCTGTCCTGTGCTTGGTTATTAAGTCAATTCTTTGTGTATGAAATGATGTACAAATCAATGTTTTGAAAATAATGATCTTAAACTTTCTAAGTTAAACAAAAAAATTTTTTTTGATTGTTTGCCATATTGGGTGGGTTTACTCTTAGAATCGCATGCTGTAGAAATGCTAAAAAGTGCATATTGGACTAAGTCTTTAGATGTTCTTTTCTTTAAAGAAATAACCTGTTTAAAACCTGTAACCATTGCCGCTGTATTCATTTCTTGTTGCTACTCTGTGCATAAATCGATGAAGACTTCAAGTACAAAGCTATGCACGTTTTGGAGTAGCGTGAGAAGTCACTTTTTTTTAAACAGCCTGTTCAAACGACCGCTGTCAAATATTCTGGGGTGGGGGTTGGGGAACCCAGACCATCTTCTTTTTAAATTAATTCTTCACAGCCAGTTCTTCTTGTAGAATGAGTTATTTACATCTGATAAGAATCATTTTTGTAATGAACAGGTTTTCCTGGCTTTCTTTTCAAATAAAATGTTAAAAGCAGCAGCGTTTGGACAGCAGATTGTTCTCTTAAATTCTATTTTCACTGTATCCAGAAATGCTCCTTCCTAGCAGCAGTAGTGGCTTTCTCCATTCTGTTTTTCTGCAACATTCTGTACAAAAATGTGCTGTAATTGTGCGTTAGGCCTGGATTTGGCATAAAAAAGATGAATTCCCTCTCTTTCATGAAACTACTCTGTAGAGCTTTCTCCGCACCCTGTATCCCTCCTCTTCACCTTTTTGTATTTAATTTTAAAGTCAGTGTACTTCAAGAAAGCTGGATGCAAGATAGATACTATATTAAAATGTACTGTTATTTAAGATGTAATAAAGCAGTTTGACATGAGTTTGGTCTGACTAATTTTTTCTCCAGCAACAAAACTCCGTAGACTAACAGATCTTAAGTGCTAAATTCAAACAGACCCATCAGAAAAATGGCAGTCTGTGCTGCAGTAGTTTCTGGTGTATCTTTTGGATTAAGTTCAGCATTTTCAGGTAGTTTGGTTTTTCCATCCAATTGCACCCAATATTAATTGGCAAACCAGGTGTAATTCATTATGCAAGATGCTTTAAAATTGCATGTCTGATTAAGTCGCATACACGCTAATGGATACTGCTTAACTGTTGTAGAGTGACAAATGTGCAGAGCTGACAAACAGTTTCACAGTCTTTCATCCAAACAAAACACTAACAAAAACACTACGATTTGTACAGCTACCATTAGTATATAGTGACCATGTGGAATGCAGAATGTGTGCTACCCATAGGGTTTACTAAGGGCATAGTACTTATCTGGAGCTTAGCAACTGCAGATATTTTTATGCATTGTTAAATATTTAAGACATACATTTATCTCTTTGATTTGTGAGAACCAGTCAAGAGCTTAATCAAAAAACGATGGGAGCTGTCTATGCATACACTCCAAGTGAAGGTCACTGTAGAACATGGATCACTTGGTATTCATGGCCAAAGCATTCTTGGATAGAAAATGCTACATTTATCTAAACATACAATTGTTGAGGTTGGAAACAGTCAAGAGTTTAACTCTTTGAAAATTGCATAGTGTGTATTTTTCCTCAACTTGGAGTGCTCTGTGAATTTACCCCAGCTGAGGTTCTGGCCTACTAGATTTGCTTATTAGTAACGCTATTGAATTTCTGTATTTGGCACTGAGATGGGTAAGTAGGTGTCAACATAATGCTTAGTAAGGAAAAAAATTTTAAAAGGCTGAGTTTCTATATATAAAATGTATTCTGTACCTGCCAAAGCTGTGGGAAGCTTTTCCCTTCACATTTATTTACAAACAAACAAAAACAAACACTACATCATGATAGATATTTGGGTTATTTTTAAAAAAATATTTTAAAGTACAGTTGGTTCTGAACTGTCAGTGCACAAAACATCGGTCCAAGTTATTTTTTAAAATGGAAAAAGGTTGTTTATGCTCTTTGTCTGACTCAGGAACAGCCAACTGTATTTTCCTCAAATCTTTCATCTGCTTCCCCTCAGCCAAAATAATTGCTTGGGCTGAGACCAAACAGTAAATGCTATAGCCCAAAATAAGTTTGGGTTTTTTTGGGGGAAGGAGGGGTTCAAAAGCTGCAAGTTGGAAAAGAAAATGATTGTCACTGTTGTTAAATTGTAGCCTTAATTTGAACTTCTGTGCCTGAACATTACATAAATGGCCATCCAGCCCAGTAGCCTGTTTGTCGGTGGCAAGTGCCAGATGCTTTGGAGGGAATTAACAGAAAAGGCATTTATTGTGTGATCCCACCCCTTTCATCTGATTCCAGCTTCTGGTAGTCAAAAGTTTAGCAATCCATAAAGCGTGGGATAGTGGCCTTGACCAACTTGAAGTAGATATTGATGGACCTTTCCTTCATGAACTTTTCTCATTCATCCTTTTTTGAATCAGTCATTCTTATGGCCTTCACAACATCTCCTAGTCAGTCCATAAACTGACTGTGAGCTGTGTGAAGAAGTTCTTCCTTGTATTTAAAACAAACATTTGCAGCTCCCATTGGCCACAGATCACTGTTCCCAGCCAATGGAAGATGAGCTTGTGACCGGAAATGCTTTAATTTCAATTCCAAATTGTCTCCTATAGAATTCCAAGTGATTCTGCCGCTAACTCCCCATTCGCTTGATATATTTTCTTATTGCACAGACGTTTCAATTATGAGATTGTCTAGACCAGGGCTTGGCAATAGTTTTGATAGGGGGGGCCACTCCAAAAATTTGGTAAGTGATCAAGGGGCAAACTCTTCCATGATACTAATGGAGGAGGTGCAGGATCTGGGATGGAAGTTGGGTACAAAAGGGATCTTGGATAGGTGCTTGGGGTGCAGATGGGTGTGTGGTGTCTGAGGGAATTTGGGTGAAGGGTGGGGTTGTGAGCTGGGAAAGGAGATGGGGGGTGTAGGAGGGGTGCAGTTTATGGGAGGGGGGAAAGGTGCAAGAGAAGATTCTGACTTGAAGGAGGGGAACAGAATCTCGGAGGGGATTGTGGTGCAGGGTCTGAGGAAATGTGTGCACAGGAGCGAAGATGCAGAGAATTTGAGTTGTGACCTGGTCCAGGAGGGGAGGCAGAGTGTTGGGGATAAGAAGGTGTTTACCTAGGCATTTCCCAGTCATGGATCCCTCAGGCAGGTCCCCTGCCTGCCATGTCCCCACATGCTACTCAGAGCAGCTGACTGCAGGGGCCATGTGCATCTGGGAGCACCATGTTCCCTGAGGGGAGAGGGAAGCTGTGCTTGTGCTGCCTGCACTGCAGCCATGGGCCAGGCAGCCCCTATAGGCAGGTTTCTGGCCAATGAGGAGATGCAAGATTGTTCTGGCTGCAGGGATAGTATGCAAAGCCCCCCTCTCCCCTGCCGGGGTGCGCAGCCTACAGAGATGCACATGGCCCCTGCAACTGGTCGGTTTGACTGGCGTGCTGGCTCCTGATGATCTATAGGACAGTGGTGAGCCGGATCCCGCGGTTTGGCGTGCCGGGCCTTATTTTTCCCCATTTCTAATCTAGATTATAATGGAATCAGTTCAACCATTCTTTCTTGCTATTTGCTGTGCCGTGCCATGTTCTTACTCGTATGTTTGCTTTTTGCTTCTGGCAGCTGCTGGGAACCCCTTTGCAGGCAAGGGGATATCTGCCAGGAGTCACTGACTCTGTCAGGTTAGTAAACACAGGGTATCATTTATCAGAAATCTCAACAAATGTTAGATTCCTTGAAGATGTAACAAATAACAGTCTTCCCTTGCAAACTATTTTTTGAAATAATAAATGGATGTGTAAATAAAATTACTTCCTGGCATTGCCATTTCCCTCCTGTTCAGCAGATATATTTGTTCTGAACACTATAACTTGGGGAAGGGAAGAGAATAATGTATAACTTGAAACTAATATTTGGCCTATTACGGAGATGAGCTATAGGAGAGCTATCGTCCTCAAAGTTGGGCTAAGTTTGGATCTGGATTCAAACAGATGTTACATCTGTAACATCCCTTCCTCTTTTTTTATCCTACACCAGTGGTCACCAACCAGTAGGTCGAGATCTACCGGTAGATCATGGAGCCGCTGACAGGGGATCCTGACTGGTTTGTCCAGGAAACTATCAAGTGCTGGCACTTCAGTTGCCCCTCCTCCCATTGCCATGCTGCTCCTGCCCTCTGCCTTGGAGCTGCTCACCTGGGAGCCTCCTGCTTTCTGTGCAGTGTATGGGAGGGAGAAGGGAGGGTGCTGATGTCAGGGTGTCCCTCCTTCCCCCACTTCTGTACCCTATCTCCACACAGAGAGGGGGATGGAGAGAACTTGGCACTGCAAATCTGTCACACTCAGGGTGTGTCTAGACTACAGGGTTTTTTCGAAAAAAGTGGCCTTTTTTCTAAAAAACTTCACCTGCATGTAGACTGCTGCCGCGTTCTTTCAAAATTAAATAGAACACGGCAGTTTTTTCAAAAGTGCTCTTTCAAAAAAAGGCGCCATGTAATGCAAACTGTGCTTTTTCGAAAGAGAGTATCCAGACTGCCTGGGTGCTTTTTTCGAAAGTACTGGCTATAGTCTAGCAGCTCTCTTTTGAAAGAGGCTTGTAGCCTAGATGCACACACCGTCCTTCATGCTCCTCTCCTGACCCAACACGTATGTTGAAGGGGGGCTTGTTGTTACTACTTTTACTGCTTGCAAAGTGAGCTATTTTTGGTTTTTGACTGGTTTATGCATTTCATAACTTTCATTTTTCTCTTACACTTAAATGTAATTATTTTGAGTAGTGAGTTCTTAGATGCCTAACCTGTCATGGCTGGAGTAATTATCCCTGTGGTAATTGCTGCTCCTGGAAGTGGCTGGCATGTCCCTGTAGTAGGGTTGCCAGATGGTCTCCCAAAAAATACCGGACACCCGTTATTTTTTGGTCGGGAGGGGGAAGGAATGTGGGATAAGCGGCGATCACAACCCCGCATCCCAGCTGGGACTCTCAGGCTGGGAGGCAGGGCCACTATCGGCTCTGGGAGCCTGTGATTGCGCAGAAGCCTGTAGCGTTGCCAGATAGTCTCCCAAAAAATACCGGACACAAAAAGTCCCACCACTCCCCCCACCCCGGCTAGGCTTCTGAAGTGCCCAGAGCAGCAATCGTGTCCCGTCCTCCCAGCTGGGACTCCCAGGCTGGGAGACGGGGCTGCCATCAGTGCTAGGAGCCTGTGATTGTGCAATCACAGGCTCCTAGCGCTGATCGTGGCCACGCCTTCTAGCTGCTCCCCCCGCCCACGCCAGGCTTCTGTCCAGTGCACATCAGGAAAAATCAGAGAATACCGGACATTGCACATGTCTGGTATTCTCTGATTTATTTTTTTTTACTAGGCAAAGAGCGCAAATACCGGACTGTGGTAGATACCGGACACCTGGCAACCCTATCCTGCAGCCCCTGAGAGAGGCAGAGCAGGGAGTCTCCATGTGCTGTCTTTGCCTGCAGACACCATTCCTGCAGCTCTCGTTGATCAGTAAGGGGGAGATGTGGCCAGTAGAAGTTGGGGGCTCAGTGCCTGTAGATGAGGGACAACTCATGGAGCCATCGCTGTCCATGCCAGCTGTTTTCAGGAGCGGTGCAGGGCCAGGGCAGGAGTAAGCCTGCCGTAACTCCACTGCTCCACCAACCGGAAGCTGTCTCAGTTAAACGGTGCCCTGCCAGAGCCTGCTTCCTGAACCCCTGTCCCAGCCCAGAACCTCCTTCTGCACCAGACATGAGTCCCCCTGCAACCAAACTCCTTCCCAGAGCTTACACCATAAAACTTCTCCTGGACCCCAATCACCCACCCTAAGCTCAGAGCCCCTTCCATACTCCAAACCCCTTGGCC